ATAACCACCTTTATTTTTTTACTCTCTCATTCTTCACAATCATGTTTGCTTTAAAGCCTAACTTTTTAGCTAAGCAAGGTTAAAGTTTATTGCCTTAGAGAAAAGGGTCAAGAGAACCTTCCACAAAGCAATCAGCAACATAAGTAAGTATGAATAAGTATCTATGAGAAATAAATAAAAGTAGACTATTATTATTTCAGGGACAAGAAAGATTGAGGAAAAAAAGCATAGGTTCCACCCTTGAGTGAAAGCTAGGGATGTCCCCAAAGGTCTTGAAGATGGAAGAATGTTTTTCATGGATGCAACCTGGCTCTCTTGGAGATGATATTTACCAACCCCTTGAATCAGCAGGGAGTGACTACAGCAAAAGAGAAATAGTGGTGTAGTTCACTTAGCAGATTGGGTGTTGCCATGGTATTTCTGAAGATCACTTGGCTCCTGTGAGCTATAGGACTGATGCTTGTGTTTTCACATACAAATTATAATAACATTTTTACTGAGTTCTCAAAAAAAATCTTACTGTAAGATAAGCAAAAACTGAGAATTACAAAGAACACTGAAGTTGAAAGTGATTGAAAATAAGGCCTAGCTTTGGAAGAAATATAATTCTAGGCCCTGAGAGGCAGAAACATGAAAAAATGTATAAGGACTGACTACTGAAGCCAAAAGCCAGGATTGCTAAGAGTAAGGGACATCCTAGCTAGCTGTCAGGGTTTCTGAGATTCTCAAATCCAGGCAATAATATTACTAAAATCACCTTAGGCAACTAACTTATAAAGGGAAAAGACTTATTTGGCTCAGACTTTGGAAGTGCAAAGGCACAGCCCCATATGAGCTCAATTCAGGTGAGGGAAATGGATGACAGCATGGCTTCGTTCAATGCATGTAGGAGCCACTGCTCCTATCTCCAGCCAGATAACAAAGGAGGAGAGTACAGAAGAGCAGTGTTCCACAATTCCTTCAACTGTCACAACCCCAAGGACCAAAGGACTTCCTAGTAGGCTCACCTACGAAAGGTCCCACCTTCCCATTAGCATCCCTCTACAGACCAAATTTTCAGTCATAGATCTTTGGAGGATTCTCAAACTAACGTTTAAACCACAGCAAGTACACAAGAACAAAAGCTGAACTTAGGGACAGCAAATCTCCATACTTGACTTCTGTGAATCAGAACTGTGATACTAATACGTTGTTAAAATTTAGGATATGATTCATTAGATAGGAAAGGAATTTGGAAACACATCTTAGTTGCTAATATTAAGCAAGCAATTTTGAGAGTGGTGTAGATATTCTCTCCCTTAATCCTTCTCTTGAATTACAGTTTCCACCTGAAGGTCACTTGGGAATTTACGCTGTCAGGTACTAAGAGCAAAACTTTGGAGTCAATAAGCCAAAGAGAAATGCCTCTCCCACACCAAACTCTTTCTTTCTTTCTTTTTTTTTAGTCAGTCATGAGTGCTGAACTCTGGGCCTGGGCGCTGTCCCTCAGCTCTTCAGCTCAAGGCTAGTGCTCTACCACTTGAGCCACAGCGCCACTTCCGGCTTTTTTCTGCTTATGTGGTGCTGAGGAATCGAACCCAGGGTCTCATGCATTCGAGGCAAGCACTCTACCACTGAGCCACCTTCCCAGCCCCATCTGTGAGACTCTTATGTTGAATAAACCATCAGGAAACTGGAAGTGGTGCTGTGGCTCAAGTGGTAGAGCACTAGCCTTGAGCTGAAGAGCTGAGGGACAGCGCCCAGGCTGAGCGTTCAAGGCCCAGGACCAACAAAAACAAAAAACCCCAACAAAACAAAAAACTAGCTGTTAATATATAGGTCTAGTAGCTCTTTTTCTCACTGAAAGTACAACTGCAAGGGTAAAAAAATCTCTATTATGTAATTAACATTGTTGAGGTAGTGCTTGGAGACTCATAATTGCAAAATCTTAATGACTTAAAAATTCCCCAGTCTAGAAATTCTTAGAAAATAGATGTAAATTCAAAATCATTAGATGTTAGGATTTGAATCCAAAGTTTTTACATTTGCTATACATTGATATTGCTACCACTGCCTGCAGGTTGATTCTGAAATGCACATTCCTTGATAAAAAATGCAAATTATAATTGGGAGTGAGTGGGTGGCTCACGCCTGTAATTCTAGCTATTCAGGAGGCTGAAATCTGAGGTTCAAAGCCAGCCTGAGCTGAAGAGCTGCAGGACAGCTCCCAGGCCCTGAGTTCAAGCCCCCAGACTGAAAAAAAAAAAAAGCAAATTATAGGTCTTTCCTTTGCTGTAATTCAAAGAATTGAAATAGTATTGAGAAAGGCAGTACTTTGTGGGGAACATGGGTGGGTATCAAAATAACTGTGTCAGGAACAGCCTAGACTCACCTTAGTGAGACTCATAATGTGCTGTAGAAGAAAAACTCCCAAAATGGGAATCGAAAACTTCGGTTCTGACACTGCTCTGTTACTAACCAGGAGGGAATCTAGGGCAAAACATTTTATTTTGTGAGGTTACCACAGGTTACCCCTGAGTTCTTAGCCAGTTATATAAAAATCTTAGGATTATTTTCTTTATGAATGTGAAAAGTGTCCTGTATTCCAGCCCCTAGAAAAGGCCCAGATGTGAACAGTTGTCTCCCTTAACAAGGTCCTAATATCCGCCTTTTGTTCTCTTCTGAGGTCAGCTCAGGGCAGAAATATGGCAAGCAGAAACCTGGCAGTTCTTTTGCAACCCCTTCCCTCCATCTCCTACCTTCATACGCTACCTGAAACAAAACCCCATTGTCTCTTCATTTATGTCTCCTCACTGTTCCTTCTCCATCTATACTACTAACGCTTTAGTACTTGGCTTTTACCTGAACCATCAGAGCAAATAACTGCTTTTCTAACTGTCCTCTCAGGCCACAGTCTGCTTCTACTAAGCAACTTTTTTGTTTAAGATTTATACAGGGAGTGATTTCTCTTATTCTCACTCTGTAAGAGGTTCTTAAACTCATTTTAGCTGAAGAACACTAATTTAAAGCAGGATAAATGCTAGGTACACAGCCACCTTTTTTTGGAGGGTCTGGTTGTGGGGCCTGAACTCTGGGCCTGGGTGCTGTCCCTCAGCTCTTCAGCTCAAGGCTAGCGCTCTACCACTTGAGCCACAGCGCCACTTCTGGCTTTTTTTCTTTTTGCTTATGTGGTGCTGAGGAATCAAACCCAGGGCCTCAGGCATGCAAGGCAAGCGCTCTACCACTGAGCCACCTTCCCAGCCCCACAGCCACCCTTTTTTATCTGAACCCTTTAAACCATTCTCTCCTGCACTCACTTGGCAGTCATCTCGGGTTCCAAGAAGAACAGGAATTATCATTTATAACAAGTTTACAGAAGAGATGAAGGAAACTGTCCCAGAGGAAGAAAACAGCCAAATGCTCAGAATAGACCACCTACCAGGGAACAGTGACTTATTCCCTCCCCTCAGGTGATAACAATGACTTATTCCTTTCAAATGATGACAACAATAACAACTTCCAATGATTTTTCCAGAACCTCAACTGGCTTACTGTGATTGCTTATGTATACCTTTCTTCCCTTGTCTCCTGGTTCTTTGTCTATTTAAATCTATAACTCATGTCTCTACTCTGATGATGAAGAGGGGTTGAAGTGTTATTTGCCAACGGCATGTGTGTCACAAAATAAACCTTTCTTTGTTCTGCCCCATGTGTATTTGGCATATGAGGCAAGTGGCCAGACCCGAAAAGTGGAAGCCTTCTGGTTTTATCTCTACTGCTTTTATCCAGATCCATGCCACTGATCTCCCTGCTTTTGTCTTAGCACTTTCTTCTCAAACATCTAACATGATTGCCTTTAAACATTCAATCAACTATGTCACTCTTCTACTCCAAGTGAAATTCCTTATAATGCCCTAGGCAACTTTGCTGTTGTTACCATTGTCCTTTCCCACATCTTCCCTCCAATGCTCCTTTCCTTGTTCTTCCTATCTGACAGAAACACAACCCACTGCAGTGACTTTGCACTCACTTTTCTCTTTGTCTGGGACGCTCCAACTTCCTCACGTGGTCACTTAACTCCTACATCACCTTCTCATGGGCCTTCACTGGCCAGGCCATTCTATGACAGACACTTCATAAAACTGTGGGCCCTGTTTTGCTTACATTTTTTCCCCCGTGGCAATTGAGAGCTCCTGTGTGTGTGTGTGTGTGTGTGTAGTGCCTTATATAGCGGGTGCTCTATAAACATCACTGAATGAACTGTGGGACACTTGCAGGGGGAGGGGTTGGCATCACACCTTGGGCAAAGATGGAACCAGACCACAGGAAAAACTACCTTGTTTATGGCAAAACAAAACTTGATCATTCTCCTAATCCAAGAATTCACGGCTCCAGCCTTTATTAATGTGAGTTTTTTTTTTTTTCTCTCTTGTACTTTTTATGTCAGGAAAACATTCTTCACTACTAAGTCCTTCCCTGGGTCACTAAGGGATAAATCACAGTTTACCAACTGTTATCTTGGGTGCCCGACATAATTTTTAAAGGTCTGCCAGTTTTAGGGAGGCCAGGACAGGAAAGTCCTCAACACTCTGCGATGGTCACGGGGTGACAACAGGCTAACATCGTTCATCTTGAATAAACGGTGGGTCCCCCTTCTCTTCCCCTTGGTCAGAAAGGTGTGGTCCGCAGCTCCGGGGAGAGGACCGGAGGTTTCCCCAGGAGCGGCCCAGAGTCTCGGAGGTCCGGATCAGCAGCAGCCCGGGGGGGTCCCGGTCCTTCCAATCTATTGCCATCGGCGTTGTTCGAGACCCGCGTCCGCCCGCTCAGGGAGCGTAGAGGCCGACCTGGCCGGCCCGCC